GAGGGTGAAGAGGGTGATTAAATTTAGAACAATAGTGTAATGATGAACAATTGTGGCCGTTGTGGGCGGTCTAATTATTTTATTACGAAAGGCTGGACATTTTATGTAATCTCCCCTCGGCGAGATTCTAATCAGACACTGACTACAACATACAATGTGTGTAGTTCACAATGGCAAGCCGAACCAAACAAATCGACGCTGACAGCATTGCAGATGTTACAGAATTTGGATGAGCTGAAGTCGGATGGATTGGATATGGAGCCTGAAATTGACCATGCTGATGATATTGTGGGGTCTTCATCTGAAAGCATGAAGGCCCATGAAAACTGTGTGCAGTGCAAACGATTTCTTTATGGGTCTTGCTTATACAAAGCACCAAAGCTGTGAAATCCACAGAACAATAGAGAAGACGAGATTGATTCATGTGTAAAGGCACGGGTAAGGGCACAATACAGTGCAATTCATTCTTTAGATTTGTGTTATTCAAGCGTTGCCCCCTTGCGGGTTCATATGATTCTCTTTTATATTTTACTATGTAAAAATAAGCTGTTACTGGACTCTATTACTTACTATAACTCTATTACTAATCGAATCTACAAATAAAATGTATTACATTGTCATGTTTCTATTGTAAGGAAAATGAAAATATGCTATGTGTTGCAGTAGATCATTGTAGAATAATACAAAACATATCCTTGACTCTATTCTAACAAATTACTTATTTTAATATATTTTCATGGTTATATTTCCACGAATATTCCTTTCTGCAATTCATCCTTTACAATTGTTTATGCACTATTTACCAAGTGTTGGTGCTTATTGTTACGGCAAATCATTTGACCTGCACACCTTGCGGGTTGTGCAGCTAATTGAAGTCCCTGACTGTGCTCTTCCTCTGCTAGCTAACTGTTTTATCAATTCACTCGGATGTACGACTACCCATTTCATGTCCAAACATGTCATATCCAAGTATTAGACTCTATTTGAGCAGTGGCAGTCAAGCATACTGTGCTTTATCTTAGTGTGATTCTACTTCTCTCTCGTCACTAAGAGACTACAGGAAGTCTATATGCTGATGTCATTCACAAGACTGGCTCCAGATTGCAATTGTCTGACACTTTGGAAATCACGACTGAAAGATATTGATCTTCAATTGACTTTTAGTGCAAGGAAGGGTATATTCTAGTAGCCAAGCACTGTAATCACACACACAACCCTCGTTGTTTATCCATTCTGAACAGCATACCATATACAAAGAAAACAAGCTGTATTCATGATGTATTACAATATACATGGGGTGCTGCTACAGATTAAAAGGAAGATACGTTTCAGTAGTGTATTACCACAGTATGTTCATCTGGGAAGTGCCTGTGCTTTAGTATAGGCAACATTGAAGGTTAGTCTGTGTTTGTTTGATTAAGTCTGTGTTTGTTGTGTGAAACCTAATCATTGATCAGTAAAAAAGGAAGTCATCCATTGGTGAATGCATTACAACGACATCCACAGACTCACAATGAAACAAGTAGTTGGTATGTTGTGTATTGGTCTTAGTCCAGGGTCACTCCACAGTTCACTGCTGTCTAATCTAAGAGAGGGTTTACAGCCAATCTGGGTCATTATGGAGGTTGGTTGAGTCAAATGAAACCATTGAGGGTGTGAGATGGAGGAGGACAAAGGGTTTTCGCAACTAGGGAATGGATCAGAAAGCATCCGTATTAATCCAGTGAATGCCTTTATTAACGTTCAATTAAACACACACTCACAAACACACTTGAGTGTTACTGTACATGTAAATTATGGTAACAACAACTTGATTAATATTTGATGTCTTTAATTTCCATGAACATGGCAGACTGTACCATATGGCTCGGGGGCTCAGTGGCTCCAACATCTTACCTCGATGAATTTCACAGACCCACTTATCAGCAAGAATTTGTTTGGCTTATTTGAATATTATCATGGCATACTCTATTAGTATAGTGCTTGTTAACTATCGCTCAAATACTTCTGCATAATGTGCAGTGAATTAAAAGAAGTTCAAACATAAGCTGCCATAAACTGCTAGGGAAAAGATGGAAGAGTATATGCTCTGCATAGCAGCAGTCTTTTTGGGGTCACTTACACCATACACTATATGTCCCTTCTGGGCACAACTTATGACACTGAGTACAACGTTTATCTGTCAAATCCCTGCAATGATCCAGCTATTACTCTTGTGTGCACAGTAACTGAGAATGGATGAGGAGGGGGAGAGAAAACCATGACAAGCAACACCAGCCATTACATACTAGATACAATACAGGCAATTTCAGATGGACAGATAAAACGTCAAAGTTAATGGTGGAGAGTGGAGTGAAATTGTGCAGCTAATTGAAGTCCCTGACTGTGCTCTTCCTCTGCTAGCTAACTGTTTGATCAATTCTCTCTGATGTACGACTACCCACTTCATGTCCAAACATGTCATATCCAAGTATTACACTCTATTTGAGCCGTGGCAGTCAAGCATACTGTGCTTTATCTTAGTGTGATTCTTCTTCTCTCTCGTCACTAAGAGACTACAGGAAGTCTATATACTGTTGTAATTCACAAGACTGGCTCCAGATTGCAGTTAGGTTAACACTTCATTTTAAGGGGTCCTTATTACAGTGTAATTACATATGTAATTACACTGTAACAAGTATTGTAATTAATTGTAATAATTCATAGTTAACCTGTAATAAAAACTAAACAGAAGACTTGTTACAATTATGCATAACAAGCAGTCTGTAATTACAGGGGTGTAACAACAAATGCTTGTTACCATACTTGTTACAAATGTTAACATTTCAGATAGTGTCCCAACGCACCATATTTCAGCCTGCACAAACCAAGTGATAAGTGTTTGCCAATTGAAAACCGACCACCTCACTGACACAACTCTGCAATAAAGCAACAACCCGTTAATAACAAGTTAAAATTGTGAGATAGTCATTCGTGCTTGCCAAATTGTAACCCTATTAAGATTGGTTGAATAATGGTTTATAAATGCACTTAAAATGGTCATAAGACAAACTCTTATTCCATTTTGTAACCTTGCAAGGGTTTCACTGTTGAGGAACATTCTCACTTTTGGATGGGATTCCATGGTGCAATTATGTATTTATCCCAGGAATTAAGGCATCATGTCAAGATCTCAATGATTTGTATATACACTAGTTGACTGATAGAGGCACGGTTGCTTTAACAGCACCCCCTATCTTGGCACTCCCCCACCATTATAAAAAAATACATATTTTGGAAGCTATAGAAATGCATTTATTATCATCTACATTCGTTTATGCCACATTTATTCTATTACAGACAATTTAATGTATGCTTTTAAATATTATGTGAGCTAAACATAAAAATAAAACATTTTCTTGAAAGTATAATTTTTAAAGATGACTAATGTTACTGTTCCCATTACAGCAATAAAAATACTTAAATACATGTAATTTTGTCCTTGAAACAATTAATTGAAAAACTGTAGAATTCCAATCATTCCTATGGAGGACTGCTCCTACTGGGGAGTGCCAATATGGCCGACCGGTGGCTTCAAAGCCTCTCAATGGACAATTCATAGCATCAGCAATCCAGGGTTTCTATACATCATTGCAAGATCTGCCAATCTGCGCAACACGCTCGAAATAACAACGACCTTGAACGTGCCCAGTGTTGACACTGACGTCATACAACAGTGCGCAAAGAACAGGGTCGAGATGAAAGTCAGTGTGCAAAATCCAGACATGGAAGATAGGGTTGGGTGGTATCCAGATTTGTATGCCTTCATACCATTTCTGTACTATACGGTATTGCCGACATAAGGGTCGTTATTTATTTCCAAATGTAATTTAATTCAATTTTATCTACGCACAAAACTAATTTAGGCAGCAGAGATCTCGATCTAGGAGGGGATTGATTGTCTCTGCTGTAACCAAGAAGCTTGATCTCGCAAGCTAGCCACTTAGATAGAAAGTTAGCAAACTAAATGCATAGCTGGAGCCCCCCCCCCCCCCCCCCCCTTTCTATGACATAGACTGACCAGGTGAATCCAGGTAAAAGCTATGATCCCTTATTGATGTCACTTGTTAAATCCACTTCAATCAGTGTAGATGAAGGGGAGGAGACAGGTTAAAGAAGGATTTTCAAGCCTTGAGACAATTGAGACAGGGATTGTGTATGTGTGAAATTCAGAGGGTGAATGGGCAAGACAAACGTTTTAAGTGCCTTTGAATGGGGTATGGTAGTAGGTGCCAGGGGCACAGCAGATTGTCCTAGGGCAATCCCACTGTAACGAAATTACACTGAGACTCAGATTTTTCACTTTAAAATGTATACCAAACAAGAAAAACTGAAAAATCGGAGTCTCAACGTAATTCCGTTATCGTGGAATTGCCCCCTATCCCATTGAGGCCTTTGTTCTATGCTGTAATGGCCATACATTTTCTCAACAAATTATCATTGGGTCAGTGCCACTGGAAAGTTGTTGTTTTTCTGACAATAATGTCATCCTCCAGGCTAGATGGACATCATATTGTACCATTTGTGTCTCCCCTTTTCATAGGCCTAGATTAGATGGTTGCATTCAAGACAAGGTCGTTTTGTAACAACAAAAGAAAAGCTGTAAAAACAAAGTTTATTTTTGTCCTCCAAAGAGGATGGGTTAGGGTAAAAAAAAAGGAAGGTAATTTATATTGATCTGTTTGTCAGTGTCAGCAGAGCAAGCCTAGGCTACCCTGTGTTTTGTTGTATTGAAAAAGATTCTGCTGTAGAAGTGTAGTAGAATTGCATGAAATGTGTTTATCAAAGGCCACATTTTTCCTGTGGAAAGAAGAGAGAAGAAACGTCTCTCATATAGCCTATAGGCCTATGCCACTACGCGCTCAGCCATGCACAGTGATTAGACTGAGTCATATTAACACATGTTTAGCATAACATCTAGAAGTTAAACTAAACTCGAAATCAGACTTACCAGTGATGAAATGATCGGAGCAGACCCTGTACTGACAGCTGTCTGGGTTCAGGTCTTGATGGACGAAAAGGTTTCTTCGCTTTTCTGACAGTTCTTGAGTCTTGGTATTTCATGATTGCAGGTAATCTTTAAAAATGTTTTTTCCCCGTTGACTTTCCTGCCTTGTACCATGGTGATGAATTAAGTTGTTTTAGGCACTGTTATCATGCAGCTTGGGGTAGCCACTCAGCTGTTGTTGTCAGAAGAATTGATGTGGTAGTCTTCAACATGGCTGCCAGGAGACATGATACGTCACCTGGCAACCCTCTATACAAAAAAAACAAGCTGGTTTCATGATATGTTACAATATACATGGGGTGCTGCTACAGATTAAAAGGAAGATAAGTTTCAATAGTGTATTACCACAGTATGTTCATCTGGGAAGTGCCTTTGCTTTAGTATAGGCAACATTGAAGATTAGTCTGTGTTTGTTTGATTAAGTCTGTGTTTGTTGTGTGAAACCTAATCATTGATCAGTAAAAAAGGAAGTCATCCATTAGTGAATGCATTACAACGACATCCACAGACTCACAATGAAAGCAAGTAGTTGGTATGTTGTAGCCATGCAGGTGCATATTGGGTAAGTAATGGTTATGGTGCTGATTGATTTCTTAGTCCAGGGTCCCTCCACGGTTCACTGCTGTTTAATCTAAGAGAGGGTTTACAGCCAATCTGGGTCATTATGGAGGCTGGTTGAGTCAAATCAAACCATTGAGGGTGTGAGATGGAGGAGGTGAAAGGGTTTTCACACCCAGGAAATGGGTCAGAAAGCATCCATATTAATTCACTGAATGAAACATTCAATTAAACACACACTCACATAAACACACTTGAGTGTTACTGTACATGTAAATTATGGTAACAACAACTTGATTAATATTTGATGTCTTTAATTTCCATGAACATGGCAGACTGTACCATATGGCTCGGGGGCTCAGTGGCGCCAACATCTTACCTCGATGAATTTCACAGACCCACTTATCAGCAATAATTTGTTTGGCCTATTTGAATATTTGCACGGCATACCCTATTAGTATAGTGCTTGTTAACTATCGCTCAAATACCTCTGTGTAATGTGTGGTGAATTACAAAAAGTTCAAACATAAGCTGCCACAAACTACAAGGGAAAAGATGGAAGAGTATATGCTCTGCATAGCAGCAGTCTTTTTGGGGTCATACACTTACAGCGTACACCATGTCCCCTCTGGGCACAAATGATGCGTCAGAAACGCAGCCAACCCAACGTTTTCCAATGAGAGCATTCTCAATGCGTCAGTGGAAGGCCCAAGTGAATGGAATGGATTACATTTATGCAACCCTTTCCAACAGAAAGGATCCATCTATCAATCGAATCTGAGCAATGACATTTCTCCTCCTGCCTCAATTCCCTCTGCTCTACCTCATACCCACACGCATGCAGTGGACCACCATGCATCGTTGCATGTGGTTTGGTATGAAGCCACCTTACGTTTGACATAAAGTATGAGCACAGTGTAAGTCCATACTATTACAAAATATCCAACATTAGCGGTACACCTACAGTATAAACCCCCCATCATGTCAAATATTCCTTACAATGGTGATGTCACCGCTTGTCTAAATTTTGTTTTCTACCTTGGGGAGGTGAATCATTAGTATGTCATTAAAATACACTGAACAAAAAATATAAATGCAACATGCAACAATTTCAAAGATTTTAATGAGTTACAGTTCATATAAGGAAATCGGTCAATTTAAATAAATTCATTAGGCCCTAATCTATGGATTTCACATGACTGGGAATACAGATATGCATTTGTTGGTCACAGATACCCTAAAAAAAAAGGTAGGGGCATGGATCAGAAAACCAGTCAATATCTGGTGTGACGACCATTTGCCTCATGCAGCGCAACACATATCCTTCGCATAGAGTTGATCAGGCTGTTGATTGTGGCCTGTGGAATGCTGTCCCACTCCTCTTCAATGGCTGTGCAAAGTTGCTGGATTTTGGCTGGACCTGGAACACGCTGTCGTACACGTCAATCCAGAGCATCCCAAACATGCTCAATGGGTGACATCTCTGGTGAGTATGCAGGCCATGGAAGAACTGGGACATTTTCAGCTTCCAGGAATTGTGTACAGATCCTTGCGACATGGGACCATGCATTATCATGCTGAAACATGAGGTGATGGCAGTGGATGAATGGCACGACATTGGACCTCAGGATCTCGTCACGATATCTCTGTACCTTCAAATTGCCATTGATAAAATGCAGTTGTGTTCATTGTCCGTAGCTTATCCCTGCCCATACCATAACCCCACTGCCACCATGGGGCACTCTGTTCACAACGTTGACATCAGCAAACCACTCGCCCGCATAACGCCATACACGCTGTCTGCCATGTACCCGGTACAGATGAAACCGTGATTCATCCGTGAAGAGCACACTTCTCCAGCGTGCCAGTGGCCATCGAAGGTGAGCATTTGCCCACTGAAGTCGGTTAAAAATGCCAAACTGCAGTCAGGCCAAGACCCTGGTAAGGATGACGAGCACGCGGATGAGCTTCCCTGAGACGGTTTCTTACACTTTGTGCAGACATTCTTCACTTGTGCAATCCCAGTTTCATCAGTTGTCCAGTTTGCTGGTCTAAGATGATCCCGCAGGTGAAGAAGCCGGATGTGGAGGTCCTGGGCTGGCGTGGTTACACGTGGTCTGCGGTTGTGAGGCTGGTTGGACGTACTGCCAAATTCTCTAAAATGACGTTGGAGGCGGCTTATGGTAGAGAAATTAACATTCAGTTCTCTGGCAACAGCTCTGGTGGATATACCTGTAGTCAGCATGCCAATTCCACGCTCCCTCAAAACTTGAGACATCTGTGGCATTGTGTTGTGTGACAAAACTGCACATTTTAGAGTGGCCTTATTTTGTCCCCATTTCAAGGTGTACCTGTCTACTGATCATGCTATTTAATCAGCTTCTTGATATGCCACACCTGTCAGGTGGATGGATTATCTTGGCAAAGGAGAAATACTCACTAACAGGGATGTAAACAAATTTGTGCACCAAATCTGAGAGAAATACGTTTTTGTGCGTATGGAAAATTTCTGGCATCTTTTATTTAAGTTAATGAAACATGGGACCAACACTTTACATGTTGATTTTTATATTTTTGTTCAGTATACATATTTGTATTTCGGTACTATAACTTTGTCTAGTGGAGCGCCATGGTTTCTTCAGGGTATATTTCTGCGGCATGCAGGCAGTTGTCTGTCTCCTTGTATTCTGAGCATGATGTAAATGTTGGGTTCAGTGGAATGTTAATGGTTTGGAACATCAGTTATGTTGTGATGATCGTCATTAAGAGACTCTCAGGGTGCTGGTGGCTCTGCAGTTTAAAAGACAGGAGAAGTTCATTACCATATGCTGTCCTCTAATGTCTTTCTGCTCTGGACAGAGATTTCATTTTAAGTTATTTCTCTCTCTCTCTGTAGTTGTGACTTCACTTTCCTTTTTATGCTGTAATTTTGTGTCTGGACAAGTCTCACTGCATTTTTTCAGGCCCGTACTCAATCAATACTTTCGGCAGTGATGGACGTTTTTCGCCAGGATGACACGCATTTACCGTCTGTTTTTATGTATTACCCCTTATGCACACGCAGACACTATTCAGCAGTAATCCAGTGTCAGGGTTTCTATGTGTCACAGGAAACTCTCCAGGGACACTCATATTTATGGGCCATTCCAACACACACCCATTTATCAGGTCCGTTTTCACCCACTTCAGCAGAAAATAATGGCCCGTGGAACCTAATTGCTGCATCAAGCAAACGCACTCCTTCGTAAAAAGATAAACAAGGAGGCAGCTATAACAGCTAACAGGAAATCCTGCAGATACAAATGTTTTCTCTGTCAGAGCCATTTACCGGTCCTCTAGTCTAGGCTATCAAACTGGCTACGGTTTTTACTAATGAAAATAGGTGCCCTGTCACCATTATGGAAAATCAGTGACATTGCTTTCCCTCTAGCAGGCTTTGGTGTAGGGGTAGATAGATATATTTATTTGACCATTTAAAACACAATACAACCACATGTGGATAATGCATTGAAAATCATTGAGGATGACACAAAACAGTTTGAAAACGTATTTCCATTGTGGTCCTCTTCCTGATTTGGCCTCGTTTTGAAGATTGCTCATTAAGAAATTCTAGTGGCCATGACTGAAGCCAATTGAGAGTTATCTTGGAGGTGTGGTTTGATATGGGTGTGTTATGTCCGCATATTGTACCCTGACAGGTACAGTTGTTTTTGTTTGTCCCTCCTGAGTCACCATAGCAACAACATAGCCACTTCCTCAAAATAGTCACTTCCTTAAAATAGTCCGAATGAATCTAAGATAAATCAAGAAAGCTGTAATTAATTTAGACGTTTTTGCCAAGGAGGTCCTAGTAACGCAATTTTACATGAGAACAATAACATGTCTGCAAGCTGTTAAACTATCGTAAATAAAGCTGCAAGCTACACGTTGTTTATCAGTGCCCAAAATCACTTGCTAGGTAGCTAAGTTCCAACTCTGTGTTTGTCAATGAAGCTAGCAAGTAGTAGCCAGCAGGCACATTGAGCAGCCAGGCCTCAATCAGCTTATCAAGTCACTGGCGAGTGGTGACGTGTGGGCTTCAGTGGCGTTCAATTTTTTACAACTTTCTCACTATCTTTTACAAGAGTGTGAGTCTGTCTGGCAGTGTTTCATAGGGAATCATGTTACAAAACAGGTCGTGGAAGGACACAAATGCTCACAAATGGGTTTTGGAATATTTTACAAGTTGCAGTTGTGATTGTCTCAATTCTCATTTTGCCCAAAAAAGGGGCAGATTCGAGCGATTGACACTATCAAACACATCAGCAAGTGGCCACTCCATAAAAGGCTTAGGACCAAGGGTTATTTCAACATAAAATTGACGACGTGTTGTCTTATGTAAACAAGTCTGAGGCGCTGCGTAATGGGCAGGTCTGTCTCACTGTCTGGAGGTTTTGGCTGCTATGATTGGATAAAGCGCGTGCAGCTGATAGAGCGCAATCAGCACAGCTGCTTCTCTCGTGTTAGTGGGCACTGGGCAAGTGGGCATGATCATAGTCCATACCCAGTAAGTTGTGATGAACTCACAAAACTCAGTTTTGGATGAGACTGACTTTATGACCAAAATTATCCTATTTACACTTTGTAGTAAATTTCGACACTAGAATGAATGTTTCTGACTCATACCGATGCCACACAGGCTGTTTAAAACCAAAGGAGAGGGTTAAAACATTTACAAACATAAACACAGAAGGCCTAGGCTACACAGTAGAGCTAGCCTACTAGGCATACTTGGGTTACACATATAACACACAACAAAATAAAGGACAGGACGACATTGTCATAGCCATAGAGCAGGACTCCCTCAGTAGATCAGTGATCACAGTCTCCTAAACTAAAGTTAGAGGATGGCTTGATGATGGTGATGCAGTTCATGCCACATGAGGGTGATTCAGTTTGCTTGCCGACTCTGATGTTATCCTCGGTCTCTGTCTAGCCTTTGATGCCAGGTGATGGTGATGGAGTTGGCTTGCTGCAGGGTCACTCTGTCTTCTCTCTGCTGTTCTCTCCTCTAGGTGTGGCAGTGTGGGGGGAGCATGGAGGTGCTGCCCTGCGCCAGAGTGGCGCACATCGAGCGGACCAAGAAGCCATACAACAACGACATTGACTACTACGCCAAGAGGAACGCCCTGCGGGCCGCCGAGGTCTGGATGGATGAGTACAAGTCCCATGTCTACATGGCCTGGAACATCCCCATGAATGTGAGTGTAACCATAGTCTCACAGCGCTTGACCTATGAAGAAACCTAGACTGGCTAGAGTCATGGCTTGTGTATCCATAGAAAAATTATTACATTCTATGACACAACAGGCATTCTATTTCTAGTCTAAAGGAGGTGGTTCGATGAACCAAGCACGTGATGAGTAACCTTGGTTGAGACCTGAAGACTTGTGTTAACACAGTCTTATGGTTCACAACGCAGCTGGTCACAAGAGCCTGGCTGGTCTTTCACCCCACCCATCCATCCATCCCATCCTCACCACTTGTTCATTCAGACCAGCATCCTGTTCTGTGCCGAGCGGGGTGGGCCCCTCTAGACAGACTGCTAGGCCTCAATGGATATTCAGATTTCATTCCACTCGACCTTCAGAGCAGCTCAGTGAGATCTGAACGACGACGTCAGGCTCTGAGTGGTGGAGCGGAGCGAAGAGCTGAAACCAAATGAATGACTAATTTAATCAGTGCCACTTTCATACACATCAGTTAAGACATAATTGCTTTCAAGGGCCTTTGAATTAGGCGTGGAAAATAATAAACAGCTATTTTCAATAACAAATAAAAAGGGATTAATGGAGAATACTAATTGCCGTGTCTAGTACAGGAGTACTGCAATGATCTGAGTGGCACAGCGTGCAGTGACAATGCTTTAAAACATGGCCTGGTAGTAATTGTAATGTTTTCAAGACATTATTGTCATTAGAAACAAGCTTTGGATTGTGTTTCACTCAAACAAGGCCTCCTGTACAGGGGCACATTACGATAATGAGCCCAGGGAGGCCAATGCTTCTCTTAATATGGCAGAACGCTAATTCAAAACACAGGGCGAGGCACAATGGATACATGCAAGAGGACAGTAACTAAGACAGCACCCTATAGACAAACTGCCTCATTGCCCAACATTCTTCGTCCAATGTAATTACGAACACAGTGGTACAGCGCTCTATTAACCCTTTGTCCCATGGTGCAGAGTTATTTTGTGCGTAATGCTATAACTAATATATCTCCCATTCCCAACACCACACACACAGAATCACATAGTGTTGTTGTTGGTTAGGGAGGCTAGAGGAGAACACAATTACTCTGGTAGGAGGGCAGGGTCTATAATTCACTGTGATTACTACCATCATGTAGTCCAAACAACATCTCCCAAATGGAATGTATCTGTTATAGCTAATCCAAATAACAGGGGACAGGGGAATGCCTGTGCTCATTATTCACAAATATTAAAATATGGCTGATACCCGTGGCTGGCAGTAGTGAAGTATGCTTAAAGGCCCAGTGCAATCCAAAACATGATTTTCCTGTGTTTTGTATACACTGAGTAATATTATAACTCCTAATATTAAGTACAACCCCTTTTGCCCTCAGAACAGCCTTAATTTGTCGAGGCATGGACTACAAGGTGTAGAAAGCATTCCACAGGGATGCTGGCCCATGTTGACTCCAATGCTTCCCACAGTTGTGTCAAGTTGGCTGGAAGTTATTTGGGTGGTGGACCATTCTTGATACACATGGGAAACTGTTGAGCGTGAAAACCCCAGCAGTGTTGCAGTTCTTGTCACACTCAAACCTGTGCGCCTGGCACCTACTTCCATACCCTTTCAAAGGCACTTTTTTTCTACCCTTTTTCCCTCCAGCAATCTTTTGAGGCCTCCATTTTTCTAACTACATAAAGTGTAGTCATTAATTAATCTACACTGATTGAAGTGGATTTAACAGGTGACATCAATAAGGGATCATAGCTTTCACCTGGATTCACCTGGTCAGTTTATATCATAGAAAGAACAGTGTTTTGTACACTCAGTGTATATTTCCACACTATGAGGTTGGAATAATACTCAGAAATTGTGAAAATGCTGATAATGCCCTTTTAGTGTAAGAGCCTTTTGAAAAGACAGCCTGAAATTTCAGCCTGTTTTGGTGAGTTTTGGCCTGCCTTGTTACATCACAAGACCAATAAGAGTTCCAAAACCTCTCTGCCAATAACAGATAGTTTTCTGTTTCCCCCTCCCCACTCAGACCACTCCCAGTCAGTCTTAGCAAAATTCTTGCTTAAGAAATTGCTCTTTGCTAAGAAGCTATTTATTTTGTATTTTTTGCCGTTTTAATTGAAACCAATCACAGTAAGGTACTTAATTGTTACCAACAAATTATTTGATGTTGAGAAAACCAACGGCTGCATTGGACCTTTAAGGTTTAGAAACAGTGAGTCTTTCTCTTAATGAGGCAGTGCATGTCTGCTGTGGAGGCCAGGGCACAGTGCAGAGCTCAGAGCAGAGCAGAGCAGAGCAGTTATTAAGCATTCCCCAAATCAGTTTGGGAAGCCACCTCCATGCACAATGCTGCCCGGCGTGGCAGGGCCGTGAACACTCATAATTAAGCAGCTGATTAGAATTTGCACAGCATACTGTCATGTCTAATGAAAGAACAATGAGTGTCCCACATGACAGCCTCCATCCATCCATCTCTTAACCAAACACTCTTCTTCTCTCAGGCTCCTTCTTTTCTTTTCTTTTCATTTTTTCTACCCTTTTTCCCTCCAGCAATCTTTTGAGGCCTCCATTTTTCTAACTACATAAAGTGTAGTCATATGTTGCTTAGCTTAAGTAATTGTGTCCTGGTTTAATGTGATTTCTCCCTGTCTGCTACCAGAACCCTGGGGTTGACTATGGGGACGTGTCTGAGCGGGTGGCCTTGAGGAAGAGGCTGCAGTGTCGAAGCTTCCGTTGGTACCTGGAGAATGTCTACCCAGAGATGCGCATCTACAACAACACCATCACGTATGGGGAGGTGAGACATTCCCTATTCACTATCAATAATAGGTTTACAATACAAAAACAGAAGCAGGTTTTGAGTGGAATACATATACTGGATGTAGTGGAATACCTGTACTGGATTTAGTGGAATACCTGTTTTGGATATAGTGGAATACCTGTACTGGATATAGTGGAATACCTGTACTGGATGTAGTGGAATACCTGTATTGGATATAGTGGAATACCTGTACTGGATGTAGTGGAATACCTGCACTGGATGTAGTGGAATACCTGTACTGGATTCAATTTTCACAACACAATACAAAAACAGATGTAATATGTGCAGTCTACTGTGTGTTTGAAGACAATAACATTCTATAAAGAATAAAAACATCACATTAGTTTGCCAAGAGCTCATTCATTCATCAACCCACACATTCTTGAAATCTCCTCTTCTGTTGAATTATCTTGTCTCTTGCAGTGATTGCAGGGTGTGCTTTGTTGTAAGGAATGTTTCAGTATAAGAAGCAGTGTTTGCTTTAATCTCACATACAGTGTTAGGCAAGCTATGTTCAAATACTGTATGCACAAGCAATCTATCGTCGACAGTGTATTTCATCCCGTCTGCACTTCAAAGATTACATGTTGAAGGGAAATTAATTAATTCACAGGGAGTCATCGGAAGGTAAAGGTATCATGTTTCCATAGCAACACGGCGCAGCTACAAGATTCAATGCAATTTCCCCTTAATGAGATTTAATTAAACAGTTATTACCTTTCAGTGCCTACTTGATTGTTTTGGGCTCGACTGCTCAACCCTTCACAGCGGAAAAGATTATGACAGGATGAGAAATTGAATGCAAGAAGTCAGACAGTCAATTCGGGAATCATTGTAAAATAAAAGTTAAGCCTTTTACTTATTGATTTCAAAATCAGAGAAGGGGAAGAAAATCAATAAGCCTTTTCAAATATGTGGCCGGCATATATCAGAAGTAAACTACAGATTCATCAAGCAGCACAATGTTGGTGGCCCTGGTTTTTCTCCAATCTTGATATGTATGCTCTCTATGCCGGTGTCTTGCAAAATGATTCCTCAAAGCAGCTCCCATTTAGGTGGCACTATTTTAAATCTGCGACAAGCAACGGAACAGTTACCTTGTGTTGCCATAGCGCAGCAGCTGAAGCTCATCTGTCATTGGAACCTCAGCTGCACCCCCTGCACTGACCAGACCAGCAGAGCGGAACCTATCTGACAACACAACATGATAGATATCTTCACAGGGTGGAAATAAAGTGATACACATTCAAATCACATACCTCCACAAACACATACCTCCACTAACACACACTACCATCTGGACTAGGAGTCTAGGAGATTGAAGAGGTTTTTGTTGCTTACATGATACCCTATCGTAGATTAAAATTACATCTCTCATCACTATAGTGTGTAGATGATTTCTTTATGAGACATTGTGAGATGACAAAGTGCCATTGCATTTGCTAAGGGACAGATTTACTAAGAGTTACCTTTTACAGTATTTTCTAGACCAGAGGTTCTAAAAAATTATAGAAAAGGTGTTGGATAAGATTGTTATAACAACAGATTTGAGTTTATACCATTTATTCCCTTCTGAAAATAACAAATGCTAACTTTAACCTGAATCAGGAACAATAAGGTCTCTGTGTTGTCTGTTGTGTTGCAGGTCAGAAACAGTAAGGCCAGTGGCTACTGTCTGGACCAGGGATCAGAGGACGATGACAAAGCCATCCTCTACCCCTGTCATGGGATGTCCTCACAGGTTAGCAGATTTCACTCCAATTCTCTTTGGTATATTTACAAATAATATAAAGACTCATTTTCTTCACTAAATAGCAGGGTTTGAGCATTATTCTTACATTATACAGTGTAATGCCATGGGATGACACTCATCTCATTATTGACAGCCAAGCAAAATAACATTTCATTTTGGGGAAAAAGCTCAGAATTGTGAATATATTCTGCTAAATGTGGTTTTAAGAAGTCTAGGCACTACAAAGTCCTCCTGGAGTGGAAGTAATTAATCAGCTAATAGCTTTTTGCTTTCTTATTTGTTTGTTCTAATATTCTAATCCATGGCCTCTAGAACCCCCTGAAAGTTCCATTAGAGAATGTTCACTAGGTGCTGACCTGTGAGTGTCAGGGCAAAAGGGGCTTTGCCACTATTTTCGTTGTGCACATGCAGCAAAACAAAGCTCACGCCTGAGAAACAATCATGCAAATATTATTCATGGCTGATTTTTTCCCCCCTCCAGATGCGGAGTGACATGTTTATTATCAGTCGCATGCTGAATATAAATAAATTGTTGAGCACTGGCTGGCACTTTCCTCCTGCCCTCCTTCTGAGAGAGCTCAGTGCAGTCTAGTAATGTAAAGCTACATCAAGTATTTAATCCTAACCTCAGGGGAAATAAACAAATGGAAATGAATTTTATGCCATTGTATCATTAGATTACAACGATGACTGGCACTACGCTACGACACAGGACCCAATTCCATTTTTGGAGCCGTTTAGATTTTACTGAACCTATCCAAATACGTATGAAAAATGTAATTGTGCTGAATAAATCTTTTTTGCACCTCTTAAAAATGTGTCTGTTTCCACCATGCCTCCTGTAAGGAGATTTAAAACCAGGAGGACAATGGCACACCTTGTCCATTTGGGCTAATCCTAATATAGGGCATGGCAGAGGATGGAGGTTCCAGGCCCAGGGTCTCCCCACTCAACCTCCCAGCAGGAATCCCAGCTATGTATGGTGTACATGGAGCACTGGATGTTGCTCCCTGTTTTCTGTTTGCACCACTTATGCTAAGAGGCCTCTTAAGTCCCCAGCCAGGGGCTCTGTAGTAGTCATGGTCTGCATCCCAAATCACACCCTTTCCCCTATATTGTGCACTACGTTTGACCAGGGCCCATAGGGAATAGGGTGCCATTTGGGACACAACAGGGTGTTTCACATCACACACTGGTCTCCTGCTGTGGCTCAGCCCCCATAGGGAGAGGACATGTCCTGTGTTCTGTCCAGGCTACTGTACTGTACGGTGAGCCTGCCTGCCTGGGCCATACATGTAACATAAGCCTGCATGGCCCCTCTCACAGTACAGTAATCTCAGTGGGACATTGTAGCTCAGTTGGTAGAGCATGGTGCTTGCAACGCAAGGGTTGTGGATTCGTTTCCCGCGGGGGGGGGGGGGGGGGGGGGGGGGGGGGGGGGCAGTATGAAAAATGTATGCACTCACTAATTGTAAGTCGCTCTGGATAAGAACGTCTGCTAAATTACTAAAATGTAAATTGGATCACATTGCAGTGCTGTCGCTCCTTGGTAGAGCGAGGGGCGTAGGGGGGATTACCGTAGCAGGAGGTCTACCTCTGAAATACTTCCTCCTATACAATAACACACAAACATCATTTACTGTGCTCTACCCCTCCTGTGTTAATGAGCCAATTGGTGAACACATGATTAGCCTGACCCAAAGAGGCTCCCCCCCAAACCTTATGGCGCCAAGAAAGTAATCGAGCATCAGCTTCTAATATAATGCTTTGCAAACAGGTTGATTGGCTTGGCAGAATAATTTCCTTATGTTGGCTAATTATTTTTAATAGTAAAATTTTAACTGCATTAGGAAATAAAGGCATCCACTCCGTAACGCTGTCAACACATTTTAACAGGGATTATATGTCTTTGGCCTGTGCCCAGTTCTCGTTTACACTACTCATAAATCATATTTTGACGCCATTTACTACACATTACACAACCGTAAACACTAGGATGGAAAATCCTTTTTAGGTATTTTGAAGGAAGAAAAACCAAGAGTGAAATGAATGAATTACAAAATAAATCACTTAATCGTTTAAGGTCTATTAGCCTTGCTGTCAGGCAGGAACCCACTTCCAAACTGAAGTTTGCAGCAGGCAACATATAGTTTAAAAAACCTTTCTTGGTATTTGAAACACTTTCTCTTGGTATTTCGATAGAAATAGTGAAAAGACAATCAGCCACAGGACCTTAACCAGGCCCAAGGTACTACACTTTTTTAAAAAATTCTAACCATAGCCTCCTTCGAACAAGAGTACCTTGAAAAGTCTGGACAAAGACGTGGTGAACCCATTCCATATTTTTCATATGTTCCAAATTGGTGTCTCTTAATCTTTATAAGGTTTCTATGAGTGCAGCCTTCTGCTAAAAGAGCACTCCCAGTCACCTTCAGTCATAGCTACAGTACAGCCTGTTACCCCCACATGAGCTGGCTGGTATATCGTTTATCCAGCTCTGAGCATATCAACCGGAAGCTATCAGCAGCCATTCATTCAGCTGCAAGGCTAGGCTCACATATTGTCCATCTAAGCCAAGTCATCAACAGTATGGGTTCAAAAGCATTCAGTTACATTGATCGACCTCCTCTTGTTCTGGTTCATACAGTTACGTGTAGCTCCGTTACAATACCCCCGCTTAGCTGGATGACTGTGGAACAATGGAGAAGAGCAGCATTTCACAGTGTGTGTCAAGTGGGCTATATTGAAGACCCCCCTATCTTTGGCATCTAATTTCTGTGAGAGGATCAGTGTAATGAATAATAGATGTTAACTCTACTGTATCCTTATGTAAAAGATATGAGGCACAGACATACACCATTTCATGTACTGGATTAAACATCTAGGGATCATGTTTGGTTGGGAAAATCTTTAGCATTAATTAACTATATACTCTCTATCTGTATATAATGCCCTAGGAAAGCCACATAATAGACTTAGCTCCAAAAATATTTAAGATAATTGAAGTCTGCATACGGTTAATGAATTTGCTCATTGGATGATGAAAATACCTTCCGGTGCACTGCAATATCTATGAACTACTTGCCAATTTTATTTGCAGCATTTACTCAAATGTGCAGTATTTTGGATCCATGCTTATTTTTGCTACAATCAAATGAACTGCCTGATGTTCATCTCTGTTTCAGCTTGCCCGTTACTCAACAGAGGGGCTTCTACAGCTAGGACCCCTAGGGTCGACCACCTTTCTGCCTGACACCAAATGTCTCATCGACGACGGAAGAGGGCGCACGCCCAGCTTGAAAAAATGTGACTCTGTTTCGCGGGTTTCCCAGAGGCTGTGGGATTTTACACAGGTAAAAACAAAAACACAAATCAAATAATTGATCAATGTTTCTGAAAAGAGCCTCTGGCTTCTTTGGAATAACTGAGTCATGTAATGCATACATATAGAGACATTGAGGTAAAATACATTGTTATTTATAATAGGATGAGCCATGTGTTAAATGTTAGATTAAATGTGGTTGCTGCTGGTAAAGGTCCCTCCATTGCAGAAGACTATGCAAAATCCCACTGAGTCATAGCAAAACACATTTCCCACATTAATTCAGTGCATTCGCATTCACAACTGGCTCATGGCCGAAGGAATAGAAGGATAATAACAATGTGGATTCTACTCTGAAGTGTTCCTGTACTGAGTATAATAACACTATTTGAACCATAATATCTACCATCAGGATTATGGAGAGTGATTTGAGGTTACGCAAAGTTATTTGGAAGAATGTGTTCTTTTTCAATCTCAGTGTTTCTGATATGATCTTTTCCCATCTTGTTTTACAGAATGGTCCAATCATCAGCAGGGACACTGGACGGTGCCTGGAGGTGGAGATGTCCAAAGATGCCAACTTCGGCCTTCGACTGGTGGTGCAGAGGTGTTCTGGTCAAAAGTGGATGATACGGAACTGGATAAAGCATCCGAGGCATTGAGGCAAGACATTATCTCTGAGAAAATAATACCATTTCAGTCTTGGAGGGCAAACCCATGGACAGACAGTCAGAGAGCATTCCATATGAGATAGCTATAGGCCCTTCGACTGATGAGATGAGTAGTTCACAGTGTGTGGACTCTTCTATGGACTGTGTGCACTGTGCCCTCCCCTTAGGGCAAAGAGCTTTCAACTGCTGAATATATGTTTTCAGCTGAGCTGGGGGTCAAACATGGAGAGCATACCATAGGCCTACAGCGAGCTATACAGTACTGTTTGAAATGCTCTACATTTTTACAGAACATCCACCTATGTACAAAAATAATAATAAGACACTGGAATGCAACTCCCAAGGGGGTTCAACACTGACAATGACAAGCAATGTGTTTTTGGTATAAAGCCAATCCCAGGAATCTTTGCAGATCAAAAGATGAAATTGCTTATCAGTCACCATATCAACATATAATTACTTCAGGCTATCATTTGGAGAATTGCTTTGGACATTTCACTATCCTGTTAAGAGATTTAATATGCTTCAAAAAGCTGTTCGTCCTCCTGATGAACTGATCAGGATGCAAAGCAACTACTGTTCTCACAAATACAAAAGGATATTATTTTCTCTTTTTCTTTTTGACTGTATTGCTCGCCACTGATTATCAGAGCAATAACGTGCCTTTTTCCATCCTTATGCTTCATCTGACCAGGGAATGTCAATTCCACAAGCATGTACAAATGAGTTTAAAGTAATTAATATATAAACCAATGTAAAGATGTCTAAATAATAGTAATATATTGTAAAATTCAAATTGGTATTAGTCCTCCAAGAACAGTTAGGATAATAAAATGTTTTTATGATGACCCAGGAGTATATTTTGTAAAACTGGATTCATTCAAGAATTCTAGATTTTAAACCATTGTTCACAGAGCCAGGTAGTGTACATATTGGAACATTTCAAGATTTCTAAAGATGTTCCTTACCCACAATGCTGTTCACTGCATGTTACATGGAAGCCAGGGCCTATTTTTACAGATGTAAAGACAGATGCTGGTGGTTGTTTGACAGCAAAAGCACAATTACCTGCCTTTGTTGTGTTTCCACTTACAGCCTCCTACTGGATTCTGGCCTCACAGCTCTCTAATCGTTAAAATCCACCCACAGGATAACAGGTCTTCACAAAGTACTGAAAGCGTTCCAATTTATTACGCTCAGCAAGAAACTCTTTCCCCACTGTATTTTCTGATGCCCGGACAACTTTGAAGATAAATAATTTTCTCTAAACCTTTTTGGTGCCATATTTTGTGCCTCATTCATTCTAATGAATGGTCAAAATGCAGAGGTGCAAATTAAATTGCTGCAATTGCTGTGACATAAAATGTTCTTGACAATTGGATTATCTTTTTTAAAGCTGTTGAATGCTGTTATTACATGCAAGATATGTCTTTGAATGTCATCTATCCTCCAAGCCCAGGGGCCAGATACTGTGCGCAGCACCAGGCAGGCAGACGTTCCTCCTCCAATAAGAATGGCCATTATATCCACCTGTGTGCTCCTGAGGCCAGTTTTAATTTGGTTTCTTGCTGGTTCACCACCAGCGATAGCTGGAGCTCTCGTGTCACGCCACGCTTCTTCTCCTCTAATCATTTCATAAAAGCAATGCATAATTTCTGTCCTCTAAAAATGTCGCTTTCCACTGCAATATCCTATTCAAATGCCAGCAAGATTTACAAACACCACTGATAAGCCAAATCAGTTTCATAGTGTCGGTAAATACAGAGGAAATTATTATTTTGTCAATAATGCATTGTTTGAACACACACAGACAGAGTAATGATGTTCTACTTGGGAGAATTGATAGCGGGCCAACTGCTGTGCCGTGAAATAGGCTAGTGTTCTTGATATTTTACATTCCCCACCTTGGGGGAAGTACAGTACACAGATACAGTACACATGGCAGCTATTGGCTTAATGGCAGCCAGCTGAGAACTAGAGGAGGCTGAGGCTCCCCTGAAACCTCTGAGTCTTACCTTCATGTACAATGTGTGTGTATGTGTTTGCGTATGCATGTGCATGTGCCAGGGTTTCCGTTAGCCGGTAATAGCTGGCTTTTGGGCGTACATTTTTTTGAAAAGCCAGTAAATAAAATTGCCACCAGCCAATTGTCCCCACCCAAAAATCCCATTACGAAATAATGCTTTTTAGCCTAATCATTGATGGAAATACCCGTTGACATAAATACATTTGACCTGTCATGCTCATTGATCTATGGGTTAATTTGCATAAGTTTGTGGAATTAAATCGGCACTTGTGTATTCGTTATGTATCTTATTTATCACATGCACACAGCATACAGATACAGAGCCATTGAGCGGAAAATCTGTTGGACAGCACTTTTATAAGCCCAGTCATTGCGTAACAATTCTAAATGCTATTGTTTGTTAAAATATTTTTTTTAGGCAGGCTTCATCAGTGCGTCACACACCACTTTGCAATGAACTGGAGGCAGTATGCATTTTGAAAACATATAGCTACTTAATTGTTTGACTGCGGTGGATGTCCCTCCTAGGGACCCAGCACCGTACCCCTCCCACTCCAAGAGATACTGCAGGCCCCCCACCCGACGCCTCGAATCTAAGATGGAACGGACCGAGTACGCCGGTGCCCCCTCGATGTCCAGTGAAGGCGGAGGAACCTCCTGTATCTCAGACTCCTGGAGTGGACCAGCTACCACCGGCCTGAGGAGAGACACATGGAACGAGGGGTTAATATGATACTCAGGAGGAAGCTGTAACCTATAACATACCTCGTTTAATCTCCTCAGGACTTTGAATGGCCCCACAAACCGCCGACCCAGCTTCTGGCAGGGCAGGCGAAGGGGCAGGTTTCGGGTCGAGAGCCAGACCCGGTCCCCGGTGCATACACCGGAGCCTCACTGCGGTGGCGGTCGGCGCTCGCCTTTTGCTGCCCGATGGCCCGCTGCAGGCGCACATGGGCAGCGTTCCAGGTCTCCTGCGAGCGCCGAAACCATTCATCCACCGCAGGTGCCTCGATCTGGCTCTGATGCCAAGGTGCCAGAACCGTCTGATAACCTAATACACACTGGAATGGAGTAAGGTTAGTGGAGGAGTGGCGGAGTGAGTTTTGGGCTATCTCTGCCCAGGGGTGGAAAACCGACCACTCCCCCCGCTGGTCCTGACAATACGACCTCAGAAACCTACCCACCTCCTGGTTGACTCTCTCCACCTGCACGTTACTCTCGGGGTGAAACCCTGAGGTCAGGCTGACAGAGACTCCCAGACGTTCCATGAACGCCCTCCAGACCCTTGAGATGAACTGGGAACCCCGATCAGACACCATATCCTCAGGTACCCCATAGTGCCGGAAGACGTGTGTAAATAGGGCCTCAGCAGTCTGTAGGGCCGTAGGGAGACCGGGCAGAGGAATGAGGCAGCAGGACTTAGAAAACCGACCCACAACGACCAGGATCGTGGTGTTCCCTTGTGAGGGGGGAAGATCCGTCACGAAATCCACCGATAGGTGGGACCACGGTCGTTGTGGAACGGATAGGGGTTGCAATTTCCCTCTGGGCAGGTGTCTAGGAGCCTTACACTGGGCGCACACCGAGCAGGAGGAAACATAAACCCTCACGTCCTTAGCTAAGGTGGGCCACCAGTACTTCCCACTAAGACAATGCACTGTCCGACCGATGCCAGGATGACCAGAGGAGGGTGACGTGTGAGCCCAATAGATCAAACGATCGCGGACCTCCAGTGGGACGTACACACGACCATTTAGACACTGGGGAGGAGTGGGTTCGTTACGCAACGCCCGCTCGATGTCCGCGTCAACCTCCCACACCACCGGTGCCACCAGACACGACGCCGGAAGTATGGGAGTGGGCTCCACGGAACTCTCCTCCGTGTCATACAGTCGGGACAGAGCATCTGCCTTAGCGTTCTGGGAACCTGGCCTGTAAGAAAGGGTGAAAACAAAACGGGTGAGAAATATGGACCACCTTGCCTGGCGAGGGTTTAATCTCCTCGCTGCCCGGATGTACTCCAGATTGCGGTGGTCAGTCAAAATGAGAAAAGGGTGTTTAGCCCCCTCAAGCCAATGTCTCCACACTTTCAGGGCTTGGACCACAGCCAACAGCTCCCGGTCCCCCACATCATAGTTGCGCTCCGCCGGGCTGAGCTTCTTCGAAAAGAACGCACAGGGGCGGAGTTTGGGTGGTGTACAGTGCCTATCCCAGCCTCCGACGCGTCCACCTCAACCGTGAAAGCCAAGGAAGGATCCGGATGAGCCAGCACTGGAGCCGAGGTAAACAGGTCCTTCAGGTGACTAAACACCCTGTACGCCTCAGCTGACCACCGCAGACGCACCGGTCCCCCCTTCAGCAACGAGGTAATGAGAGCCGAAATGCGGTAACTCTCCATCTTCACCCCAGACGTGGACATGTGGTACCCTAGGAAGGAGATGGACTCCTGAAAGAACAGGCATTTCTCCGCCTTGGCATAAAGGTCATACTCCAACAGTCGTCCGAGCACTTTACGCACCAGGAACACATGCTCGGCCCATGTAGCGGAGTATATGAGAATGTCAACAATATATACCACTACACCTTGTCCGTCCAGATCCCTGAAAATCTCATCGACAAAGATTGGAAGACTGATGGAGCATTCATCAAACCCATATGGCATGATGAGGTACTCATAGTGTCCTGAGGTGGTACTGAATGCCATCTTCCACTCATCTCCCTCCCGGATACGCACCAGGTTGTAGGTGCTCCTGAGATCCAATTTCGTGAAGAAGCGCGCCCCGTGCAATGACTCCGTCATACAAGCTATCACAGGTAGTGGATAGCTGTACTTGACGGTGATCTGATTAAGACCACGGTAATCAATGCACGGGCGTAACCCACCATCCTTCTTCTTCACGAAAAAGAAACTTGAGGAAACAGGTGAAGTGGAAGGCCGAATGTATCCCTGTCTCAGAGATTCGGAGACATATGTTTCCATAGCCGCCTTCTCCTCCTGTGACAGAGGATACACGTGACTCCGGGGAAGTGCAGCGCCCACCTGGAGATTTATCACACAATCCCCCGGAAGATGGGGTGGTAATTTAGTCGCCCTCTTTTTACTGAAGGCGAGAGCCAAATCGGCATACTCGAAGGGAATGTGCATGGTGGAGACCTGGTTTGGACTCTCCACCGTAGTAGCCCCTAAGGAAACCCCTACACACCTCCCTGAGCACTGACTGGACCATCCTTTGAGAGCCCTCTGTTGCCATGAAATAATGGGATCATGAGTGGTTAACCAGGGAAGTCCCAACACCACAGGATACGCAGGAGAATCAATCAGATAGAGACTAATCCTTTCCTCATGACCCCCCTGCGTCCTCATTAAGAGTGGAGTGGTGACCTCCCTGATTAGGCCTGACCCTAACGGGCGACAATCTAATGCATGTACAGGGATTGGCACATCAACACGTACAGTGGGAATCCCTAAACTAAGTGAATACTGACGATCAATAAAATTCCCAGCTGCGCCTGAATCTACTAGCGCCTTATGCTGGAAATGAGGAGAAAACTCTGGGAAAACAACCTCAATACACATATGAGCAACAGGGAGCTCTGGGTGAGTCGGGTGCTTACTCACCTGAGACGGTCGACCAGTGCTCTGCCTACTGCCTCGACTCCCTGGGGACCCTCCCCAGCACCGACCAGCAGTGTGTCCTCTGCGGCCACAGTTGGTACAGGGGATTTTTTTTTTTTTTTTTTTTTTTCACCTTTATTTAACCAGGTAAGCCAGTTGAGAACAAGTTCTCATTTACAACTGCGACCTGGCCAAGATAAAGCAAAGCAGTGCGATAAAAACAACACTGAGTTACATATGGGGTAAAAAAACATAGTCAAAAAATACAACAGAAAATATATATACAGTGTGTGCAAATGTAGCAAGTTATGGAGGTAAGGCAATAAATAGGCTATAGTGCAAAATAATTACAATTAGTATTAACACTGGAATGCTAGATGTGCAAGAGATTATGTGCAAATAGAGATACTGGGGTGCAAAAGAGCAAAATAAATAACAATATAGGGATGAGGTAGTTGGGTGGGCTAATTTCAGATGGGCTGTGTACAGGTGCAGTGATCGGTAAGGTGCTCTGACAACTAATGCTTAAAGTTAGTGAGGGAGATAAGAGTCTCCAGCTTCAGAGATTTTTGCAATTCGTTCCAGTCATTGGCAGCAGAGAACTGGAAGGAATGGCGGCCA